TGCTTAGAGCTAATATCATGGAGATAAGGAGTATATAAAAGATGGTCATTAAGCTCATAGCTGTTGTGAGCCTTTGCACAAACCCACTCTGTGCTCTTCAGAACATATTTCTTTTATTATTTTAACTGTCCCACACTCACTCTGTAGAGCTCAGCTTTTCAGATCACTCTTTTTTCTTAAGCACTTATTTTGGATTTCTTTATCTTTTTTTCTTTTGCTCTAAATAAAAATTAAACTTTCATATTTGTTGATTGTCCCATCTAGTTCTTTGAAAGGGACTCTAAGGGCCAGGAAAAGACAGTTGGTCACTACAATACCAGGTAACAGTATGATTTTTAAGATTAATAATGCATTGTAATTGATAGGATTTCCTTCCTCCTCCAAATAATTTAAGCATAATGGAATTTAGTTTGATTCGCAAATAAACAAAGCATTATGGAAGCAGTCCAAAGACAGTTTAATGGCACCATGTTTATAAGGCTTCCAGCACCTCGTATCTTTTATTTGTTCACACTTAACTAGTGATCTCTCTACTAGGTCTAGCAGAACAAACAAAGCAAAGAGAGATATTCTTTAAAATCACTTCTGGAAAGTTGCACATGGCATTTCTACTTTTATGTGATTGGAAGAAACTTGGTTAAATGGATTTTAAGGGGCTGCAAAGTCACAAGCCACGTCCCCAGCTAAATATCAGGATTATATTTTCAAGAAATGTGAACTTTAGAGAAGATATAGCCATTTAAATATAGATTCTTAATTTATCAATGAAGAAACTACATGAAGAATACTTCTGATACATACTTTATCCTCAGTATTAGGGACTGAATCCTAAGACCTCTATAACTAAGCTGTGTCCACAAACTCTCCAGACTTTAGACTTCAAATTTTTTCTGTACCAGGAATCAAACTCACTACCTTGTACTTGTCAAGCAGTGTTGTGCTAGTGAATTATATCCCTAGACCTGGACTTCATCTTTATATTCTTATTTTGAGATAAGGTTTTGCTAAATTGACCAACCTGAATTTGAACTTGTGATTTTGTTGCTTCAGCTTTCTAAGAAGCAGGAATTAGAGTCCTGAAAAACAAAGTTTAAGACTGTTTCTAAAATTTTCTTAAAAACTGCAGATACTAGTTCACTCAGATTTTGCTGGTGGTTATCATTTCTAAAAATATTTGTTTCTTTCATGGTTGTCAAATGTATACCTCACTGTTCTGGTTCTGTGCTTTCTTGCATGGAATTTTTATTTTAGTGTGTTTCAGAGTGAACTATTTTTTAAAGAAAATTGAAATCACAATTAAAATTTAGTTGCAAATGTGATACTACACATACAGCAACTTAAATGATGGTGGATTTGCTGCTAAGTTTCCACATAAATTTGCTAAATTTTCATCATACAACTGATATGATATGCATGTGAGATAGTTCCTGACATGTTAATTCTGATTTAAAAAAAAAATTTGAAGATGTGGTATATGAATGTACCAACCCTTGACAATTAATTTAATTACATGTACTGTACACGAGTACCAATAAAAATTTTTAAATGTTTAAAAAGACTAAGAAATCATTAATTGGTGTAAAGATATACTATATAAAATATAAATAATACATTATTCATGTTGACTACCTAATTTCAGGCAAAGGTGTTGTGCAGTATTTAATTATACACAATAAAATGATGTCAATTTTTCTTAATTTTAATTAAAATATAGCTTACAATTTGAGTACTTGATCAATTGTGTAATATTCAAATGATTAAACAAAGTAATAATGAGTTTTTTTAATTCATAATGTATTTTAATTCCCTCATCACTAACTTCTTTGTTTCTAGCATTTTAATTTAAAATTTTTGTATAGTTAATACTTTGGGAAAATCATCCATTTAATTAAAAAATACAGCATACGATAGTATAAAACTACTCTTTAGTTTACCTGCAACTTTTTCAGTAATGTACATAGTTATTAACTATTTTGGTAGAAGTTATTGAAATGTATTACTTTCTTAAGGAAAAAGTGTTTTAATTTACACTTAAGTGTATTTTAATATTGAATTATTTGATCACTTTTCTATTGTTTCCATCACCTAATATTTCTATGTCCTTTTACATGATTTTCTAGTTCATTATGTTGAATTTTAAGTATAATCTTTTCCTCTTTTGAAATATTTCATGCTTGTATTATTGAGTACCTAATTTTCCTCTGGAGTTTGCTGTATTAAAATTTTATAAAGTTTGATATTTAGTGCAAATTTATATTTTTTAGAACAGATTACAACCTCTTGCATTTTACTAACTTCACCGCCTCTGTGTATTTGTGTGTATGCATGTACAGATATATGTGTGGGAAGGGTGTGCTTGTCTGCATATTTGTGTGTGTATGTATAAATATATGTGAGTTTATAAGGAATATCATGTGTTTCTATATATGTGTACCAGTGTGCTAGTTACATGAGTGGATATATAAGTTTGGGAAGCTTATTTTTAGACAACCATGGGATACATGTGATAAGACTTGGGTATTATGTATTCATGAAATTTTTGAGTATTGTATGGATATGTGCATTGGAGATGATGTATGTATATGTGTTTGTGTTGTGTTTATGTTTGGCCATGCATGTGGGTGTATTTTTACCCATATTGTGGTGGGAAGAATATGTTGTTACACTTTGGATCAGGGATGTCTAACAAACACTCACCTGTTGCAAGGTTAATCCCAGCCTGATGATGCTATTGGCAGGTGTTGGAAACTTTAGGAAGTAGGGCCATATTGGAGAAAATCAGTCACTAAGGAAGATCTTTGAAGACTATAAACCCTTACTTTTTCTCTGTGCTTCATGGCAGCAATGCGGTGAGAAACTTTGCTCCCCTATATACCTCTGCCTTACCTCAGGCCCAAAATGAAACCAAGAACCATGGACTAAATCACATGGAAAATGACCCAAAATAAGTCTTCCCTACTTTGTGTTGATTTTCTCTGGTGTAATTTCAAGTTAAAAAGACCACTTATGTAAGTTGTGAGTTTCTGAACAAGGGAGGTATATGTATGTATGTATGTGTGTAAGCATGTCGGGTGTGGGTGAGGATGGATTTGGTAGAACGTTGAGTAGTCAGAAGGTTTGTAGGTCTGTGTGCTTGCTTTCCTGTAAGTGTGGATAAGTAGGTGGGTGGACATGGTGGGATGTACTCTGTGTGGATAGCGTGCATTTATGTCTGTGTATTGGCAGTGAGACACATGTGCAAGTTGATTTTTTGTATGGTTGTCTAGTATGTATATGTGCATTTCTAGGTATGTGGATATTTGTATGCAGATACACATCTGTACGGGGGAACCTGAGAAGTATTTGTGTGTGTGTGTGTGTGTGTCTGTGTGTGTGTGTGTGTGTATGTATGTTTAATGTGTGTGAGTGGGCTTGGATGCTGGTTGTAGAGGAGGATAAAGAGAGGTTCAGACAAGGGAGGTAAAAAAAATATTAAATGATACACATGAACATGACTAAGCAGAGTTAGGATAAAGGGTGGCACCCACACTAGAAGAGAAAAAGAGACTAGAGAGAGATAGAGACAGAGAGACAGAGACAGACAGAGACAGAGAGACAGAGAAAGAGACAGAGACTGAGAGAGGCAAAATTTAGCTGTGAGATGCTAGTATATCTTGCTGCAGAAATTTTGCTCAGAATGTAACTCCAGTAATGTAGGAAAGGAAGAGATTTTTCTTTTCTCTTAATGTTTTCCGCCTTCATTACTTTGTTTATACACATACTGATTTAGAGAAAGCAAAAGGCATCATCTTCCTAAACCAAAGGATTAAGTAGCAAGCTGTTATGGTTTGTGTCTGAATGGCCTCCAACCCTCATGCAGTCATGGAGGTGGCTGAACATAGCACTTGTGATTAGTTGGTTGTCTAGTGATGGGATTGGCAAAGTGACTGCTGTACCCACCCAGGGACCTAGTCAACATACAATATAGGGGCGAGAAGGAAAGTGTTTTTCCCTTTTGCTCTTTTCACTCTTGTTGCTTGTGGCTGCCATGAATGGTTGCCTCTTGACCATGCCACTTTGCCTTGGAGGCAGCTGAGTATTGCCTGAAATCTCCAAAATACTGTAAGATAAATAAACCTTTCTTTCCCTCCTTCTGGGTTTCAGCTATTTTGTCTCAGCAGTGAAAGAAAAGTAACCAAGAAAGAAGCAAAAAAAAAAAAAAGTTATATCAATGAAATGGAGGTCACAGAGGTAACTTGAAAGCAAAATTTCAGAACACAAGACATAGATTTCATAGCTTTTCAGATTCCAGCATATGGTACTTAGAACTTCCACATAAATACCATTTCCTCAGTGAGTTAGGAATTAAGTCATGTTTTGATGAAGAAGCTACGTTAAGTCATTTGGGCTTAAGCAATTGTTTCAGTAACATGATAAAGAACTAATTTAGAATGAAACTTATTAAATTAATTAGGAATGAACAAATTCCTTGAGGATACAGATACATTTGTTAAACATACTTTAACAAATTTGTTAAACATACTTTAACTCTTCTGCCTGATTTTGCACTAGTACTCCTCAGGTAGGACTCTAGAATTGGTATTTTTATGTAGAATATGAATCATATTTTTTCAGACAGGATATGTCAAATGCCAAGTGACACTGAATGATGACTAGTGGTTGGTTACTGCAATACAATCAATGAGGTTGTTTAAACATATCCATTCCATAATTTATGGAAACTGTGAATGTGGTACATTATGTGATGAAATGGGCTTTGCAGGTGCAACTAAGGAAATAACATTAGAAGTCTATTGTGTCTTATGCAGCTGAGTTCCAGTGAACTCATAAGGTTCTTTACAAGTCACAGAGCAGAAACTCATGGTCAAAAGCAGATATAACAACACAGTCAGAAGCAGGAGTGATTTCAGAAACAGTTATAGAGTGAAGAAATGCATTTGAGCTTTAAAACTTTAGATAGATATAAGGCTTTCCCTTCAGATTCTTCAAAATGAATTTACCTTGATGAGATCTTGACTTTAACCTAGGAAGTTGGTTTTTGGTCTTCTAATCTGCAAAACAAGTAGAATGATCAATTCATTTTTTTATATTTACTAAAAGTTCTGTTAAAAAGGTTATAATGGAGTCAATTATATGTATGCATATACATGTGACTCAATAGAGACAATGGAAGTTAATTAGCTTCACGCAGATTTAGCGAAGGTATAAGGAGGTAAGAGCTACATGTGTTGAGGGGCTACATGAGGAGCTGGATATGTTGGGGGAATGCGGTAGCACATAAGTGCCAGATGAAAAGAAAAATAAAGAAGTAACTAAGATTAGCTGTTGACCTGGGAGAAGAGTGAGGCCATGATAAAGTGTTGATAAAATTCTAACACAACAAAATCACCCTCCACAGATCAAGTCTGTGTTGAAATAGGATTAAGGGAATTGTTGAAAAATACATTAGTATCCACACCCTTTTTTGATTTACACAGATTTAATGAGTTGAACCCAGACTTAAGAAAAACTGCACATGGATTCTGTTGTGGATTCTGTAATAATGGATATTAGAGAACTGCAAATTATAACTTTGGACATAAGCAACTTTAACACAAAGTCAACTAAGTTCTAGGAAATCTTCAAAAAGAACACATCAAATAAAAACTAATATGGATTCATAGAGTAAATGCACTACAAAAGACTTCATAGATTATTTTATCTAACAATAACAAAAAATAAAGGTCCTCAGAGAAGGGAAAATACACATTTCCCAATTTAAATGGTAAATATACAGCAGAAATCACAGGGAAACCAGAACCTCTTCTCATATGGGCAGTAACCTTCCAGTTTTCCATAGTACAAATCAACTAATGAACATGAGAAGAGAACTATTTAGTTGCTTAACTAGAGGGAGTTCTAAATGTTTTTACAAACTAGTGAGGAGAGGATTTGCTCAAATAATCAAATAGGAGTTAACTTCCATCTGCCTGACACACAGCTAGACAATGCAGACATTAACAAGCATGCTGTTGTGTCTTGGGGAGGAAACAAATATATAAGCATCTATGCATACATGGGCATGGCAAGTTTGATTCAGCTTGATTATGTCAGTAGCTGTGATTTAGACAGTTCCAAAATATCTGTCAAACTAGTGAATAAGATCAGAAGGAATTATCAGAATAAGCCAACAATGAACAGGGGAATTTGTATAAAAAGCTGAAATATATCCTGAAGGGAAGTGATATGAGAAAATTTTGGCTTAATAAAAATGCAGTTGCTATGTATTTCATGAGCATCTTTCACGTGTATTTCTCCCAAACCTAGTGATCAAATATGCAGAAAAGTATCTCTAAGAAAAAGCTAAACGTGTTTGTGAATATGTTCTGAAGCATTGGGAAACAAGGAAAAATTACACGTGTACCTGTGTCATAGAAAGTAACTTCAGTGTTTGAAGACTTTGCATAAACACACTGTTGCTCAGGCACAATAAGGTATGTAAAATATATCAAGGACTCAGGGCCTTGATTATCCCTTCTTGTGTTTAACCTTTTGCTCAGCAACATTGCCTAAGGACAACTTGCTGGGATCCTCAGAGAATGCTGTGGACAGAGCTCACAGCATCTTAGGTAAAGTTGTTTCTGAAACTGAATAAGATTAGAATAGAAAAAAGACAATGACAAATCGCAGAAATAAAAGCCATTCCCTGCAATGCTTGAAAGCAGGTAAAACAGGAGATGAGCTATATTAGCAAGTGAGATGCACTACAGAGAAATTCTATTTATAATGTTAACCTGATCTCTACATGCAACCTACCTAGGGAGGCATGAGTTCAATATATGCAGGAAACTAAAGAGACATAGATAAATAGTAGAGGTAACACATTCTGTGATATGAAATTATTCCGGGTACAGAAGGTTCATATACATACATATGCTTGCAACTGACCAAGAATGGGTCCTAAAAGCCTGTTTTAAACAAATCCTTTTTGCATTTCCCCAAAATATGCATTCCTCAAAAAGAACTCCTCTTTTATACCTTCAGGAAAAATAATTGAAAAATCAAAATTTTGTAAAAGTATGTGGCCTGTGTCAAGTCATAATGACTTCACCTGTAATAAAAGCCTTATTAATATGGATGAGTCAAAAATGATCTAGTTAATTGGTTTGAGACATAATGAAAATCTATCAGAGCAGAAAGAACTAAATGTCTGTGCTTTCAAAAGCCAAGAACAATGAAATCCCTGTAAGGAAAATGTCCAAGGGAATTTCTCAATTTCAGTCAACTGACGATGAAGAGACTCTTTGGTGGTTGAGTTAATCCTTGCTCTGTCAAGACTACTTATTGTGGGGTGAGGTTCCACATATGACCTCAGTATGCATGCCACTAAAACACAGAACCCTGACATTTTCCATAATGCTGACATGTATTGTTAAAGAGTGATTGGCCTACCCTGCGCCATGAGAGATTTTACTACATAAATTAGAGTATTATTCTAATACTATAAACTATAAAACTTTGTCTAGTCTTCTGCTCATAGTTGCTATATACAAATAATTGCTTTTGTTGATGAAGATACCAGGCCTATGGTTCAGTTAAAAAATTAAGGCTTGAAGGCCAGAAGTAGATGAGACAAAGTGACACATCAGCTGCATTTTGTCATCATTATTTTAGGCTTTGTCTACCTAATTTCTTTGTCATCTTTAAGCTTTGGCTTTAAGTCTGCCTTTGTTCATAATCAGATGCAGCTATTGGAGTTCCAGTAATCATATCAGCATCACAGAATAAAGGCAGTAATGGGGGAGAATAGTGAAAGGGTAAGGTTAGGACAAAATGTCTGATGCAGATTAATTTCTAGTTTTGCTTCTGACACTAGGAATTTAAAGACATTATAGTCTTAAGATATCAGAAAGAGTTCTTTTGTTTTTTTGTAGTAGAAATGGTAGTGAAAGCCTATAATTTCAGCACACTGGGAAGCTGAGGCAGAAGGATAACAATGTCAAAGCCAGTCTGGGAGATCTGGCATCTCAGTGAGTCCTTGTCTAAAAACAAACAAACAAAAAAATAGTATGTTGGTTTGGAATTAACTCGGCGCAAAGATCCTAGACTCAATCGCTGGTACTCTATAAATTAAGAAATAGGATACACACACACACACACACACACACATATGAAAGACAGAACAGCAGAATCACTTTTGCATACTTTTAGTGACATGATGAAGATAAAAATTTCGTTACAACAAAATTCAGAGCTTGCTTATCTGTTAGTCAGCTTTCCATTATTCTAACTCCTGATGCATTGAGTTTTAAAAAGGAAGGATTGATTTGGCTCAAGTTCAGTTCTCTTAGCTGTACTGACTTTGAGCCTGTGGTGAGGAAATATGTCATGGTGCAAAGATATGTGGTAGAAAAATATACTCACCTCGTCTCAGCTAAAATGCAAAGGGAGACAGAATGGAGTGCATCGCTAGAGTCTGCCTGAAGAATGCACCCCAGTACCTACGACTGGCTCTCACCTACAGGCATGACCTCCATTCTGAGCACCACATCTTTAACACATGGGGCTTTGAGGGACACTTCAGGTTCAATCAATATAGCAACAGAAATAGATTTATAGACTTCTGTTTTTAGAAAGAATTGTGATGATCATTCTAATGAACATAAGTAACATGTTTGTTCTGGCACAACCATGAGGAAAAAAACTTTCAATTAATTTTCTCTTACAAATAACCCTTATTGGAGAACATGTGGTAACCATTATTATACCTAAATGCAGAATAAACTGAGACAGAAAAAATCTGCTTCTATAACATGGTAGTAAATGGTAAGACTACAATTAAAATGAATCCAAATCACAACAAATGATTTAACTCCACAAAGATAGATAGATAATGATAAGCATTTGTTTGAAACCTCCAAAGTTGGGAGATGTGAGTTTGTTAGGGAAGGAAATCTATTTAGAATCTTTCCCTATATGCATCACAAAGATGTATTGTTATTCATGTGAATTGCATTTGATGAAATATTAAAACATGGTTGCTAATTACTTGATCAATTTAACAAAAGCAAATTTTTTGTTTCAATAGATTCTATAGCAAGCAGCCAGAAACTCGAGAAATTTCCATTAGAAAAAAAAAAAAAAATTTTATCTATAGGTTGATAAAAGAAGCTGTTAATTATCACTATGAAGAAATGTCAAAATGTGGTATAATGACTGAATATTGAATATATCAAATGATAGAAAACAGTTATTTAGCTAATGGGAACTTTAGAAACATTGATAATGAAGCAAGAACACATAGTTTAAAATTACGGAAAAAGAAATTAATTTGCCTTACAAATAAAAGCAATGATAGCTTATTTTTAATAGAATTTTATGTGAGAATTAAACTATTCTATTAGTGAATAAGATAAACTTTTTAAAATTAACCTGCAGTCATACTTTATTCAATGTCATAATTATAGTAACAATAATTTTGTGATTTTTTTTGCATTGTGAAACTAATTTTCCCCTCAATCAGACACTACTGTAAAACAAAATAAAAGGCACCTTTCAGACAGAAAATGAGCCAAGTAATCATGATCCATAAATTGTGTGAAAAGCAAAAATGATATTTCATTGGGAGAAACTGAGATGGAAAATAAATGAAAGGAAAATCAATTTAAAAAAGAATGAAAATAGAGCCACAGCAGAGAGGGAGAAAGAGGAATTAGAAGTGGGAGACAGAGAGATAGAAAACAAAATAAAACAACAATGTGTGACTAACAATAAGCTTTTACTATGGTTATCTAACAATATCTTTTGTCTTTGTATTATCAATATGATTACTATATGTGTCTGTTATGGATTAAAATCTAGTGGGAGACTTAACACCAGCTGAATTAAATCAGCATGGCTCTGCATGTAGATGGCCCACTGAGGAAACTTGCCAGCACAGAGACATAGAGAAAAAGAGGTAGGTACCTGGCTTCTCCTAAATGTTGCTGTTTTGAGCCATTGATTCTCCGGGAGGAGCTTGTCATGGATATGAGTTTCCCAATTGAGTTTCCCAATATGAGTTTGACCATTATCAGAGGAGCTTGGGACATTGTTGGTGAGCATGGCTGTGGTTCACTTTGGGGGAGCTCTGGTCCTTACATAGAGCATTACTTCCTGGCTCTATGTAAGGGGGTAGATGTGTGCTGTTTAATCTCCAGGAGAAACTTGTCATGCTGGCTTTCTGGCATTTACTCAACTGTTCTTATCATTGAGGCTCAGAACCTCTGTGTCACTGAGGATGGCTGTGGTAGTTTTCAAGGCAGACCTGGTCCTTATTTTGAGTTGACTTCTTGGCTCCAGTGTTAGAACCCTCAAACTACCGGCACAGCTCCTTCACTCCACTGACATAGACTTTCTAGCTTCCACCAGTGACCTTTGAGCCTTCCCAGTGCATATCTGTAAAACAGACTGGTGTGAGTCCTTCTCTTGGACTCTAGACCTCCAGCTGGACTTGAGCGAGGCATTAATATTGGCTCTAGGTTTTCATGCAGAAAATTGTTGTGGGATCCAGGACCTGGCTGAATATTCTGGATCTTTAATGTTGTGGATAGATTTCCTGCATTTTCTTGTTTAACTCTGGGTGAGCACCATAAAACAATATTATAAATTTTGTGTCCTGATTATAATTGTTCTCCTCACAACCACTGACTACAACAGGGTCATAGTTCCCTCATGCTTTAAATGAACACATTAGGCTAAACAAGAGGGGACTTTAACTTTAAATTTTAGTAGCCTTTACAAAATTCTCCCAAAAAATCAATCAAAAATAAATGTCCTTGTGAATTACAGAATCTTTGGGTGTCTAAAGTATCCTATTCTAATCCTAGGTCTCGCTTATCATCTTCCCTTTCTGTGCATGCTTGATTGATAGCTTCCTGATAAAACATTCTATATTAATGCCCCAAGCTTGATACTTACTGTGAAGCCCTGGGTAGAGGTGTCTTCAATGCTTCTTCAGACTTTTTGCTTTTCCTCACATTCAATTTCAATGTTCCTCTTGTTCACGGTTATCTCACTCTCTTGAATTGAGAATGCCCCTGTGAAGTCTGACCCCTAGGACTCCTCCCTCAGCTGGACATTATCAGGCTATTCTATTGTTGTTTTAGGTACCAGGAATCAAACTCAGGAGTTTGAGCTTTCCAGGCAGGCACTTATGCCACTGAGCTATATCCCCACTCCTCTCAGGTTATTTTTACTTCCAAAATACCATGCACATCATCATTTGTGGGTTATATCACATGATTCAACAATTGCATCATTGTGAATAATTTAGAAACCAGAAAACAACCCACATGATCCAGAGTTGGCAATGTTATAAAAGAATCCAAAACTCAATGCTGCCAGGAAGATGGTATGATTGGTGTTATTTTTGTTTTTGTCTTTTGTATCCGAGAGTCAGAGAACATGACAGATTACAGCAATGACATTTTCTTCTTAAAGGTATGGATTAGACACTTATAAATTATCTTCAGGAGACGTTAATATTGAAACAAAAAGTGAGAATCTAAAAATGAGTTTAAAGAAAGTTTCCTTCTTTTCAACAAATGTTAGATCAATCTAAGTGCTGAAATAAGGGTTTGGTTTAGATTGTTTCAGGTGCAGAAAAGATTGTGTGTGTGTGTGTGTGTGTGTGTGTGTGTGTGTGTGTGTGTTCCTAAAGAATATGCAAGTTCACATGATTGATTCTTTTATGCTTCCATACTATGGAATAAATTCTCTATAAATTTTAGTTAGGGTTATACATTTTTTTATGAGCGGTTCACTTGGGCTTAGAACCATGCTCAGAGCAAAGCTGTGCCAATGATAGTATACTTATTCAATATGAAGCAGCTGTGTTACCTACCCAGCTGTTTTAAGGAGTCATTTATTACAGTAGTTACACAAAAACATGCTGAGGATACAGACAAGACAGTCCAGATTGTTCTAATTGTGAAAATGGAGATGAGATTCCAGGAACCTCTTGAAAATAAGTGAGGGTTATTTTAAGGGCTGAAAATTAGCGAGGGTTATTTTAAGGGTTACTAAGGTAGATGAGGTCACTTGTTCACAGATCTCTGACTACAAGTATAAAAATCTCTCACCCTTACAGCATAATGGTAGGAATCCCCATAGAATTTCTAAAGATTCTGGCTGATATACAGAAAAATTAATACCACTAATAAGAAGCTGTGTAATTTAGCACTTTAAAACAAATTGCAAGTATTTTGAAAAATCTCTTTAATAGCCACTCTTTCAAATTATCTATGTTATGATGGATAGATGTTAGAAATTGTAATCATTCGCATGATTTCTCAAATTGGTTTCAATACTTATGTAAGGTGTTTGTAGAAATCTCCGTTTTAATCTTTTGCCTGAAGGTACTATCCAATTACCGTAACATGGACTTCTTATAAATCTAATCCATCAAGTTAAGTACATACTGTATCCGGAGTGATTTTTTTCTTTTTTTTACAGTCCTGTAGCTAAATTCACTTTGAATCAGAAATGTAAAGGGAATTTTTGTAATCCTAGCATATATTTTTTCCATCAGAACTATTTTATGGATACATCTAAATTATTTTTCAGTTAACTTGGTATGAACATAGGCACTGTATGCTTAGCTATCTTAACTTATAGGCAGGAGTATAATTTAAAATTACTCCTGAGTCATTAACTTCACTTTTAACATAGAAAAATTATTCTAGAAGCTTCTGAGATATAGAAGCTACGTTTTACTGTAAAAGACAACTACTTGAACTTTTAAAAAACATTTTTGACTGTCTTTGATATTGCTCTCTGTCTTCCTATTTATTAGGTATAATTTTATAATACCACTAATAAAATTTGAATCACTGAATAAAGGATACGTTTATTGACAAATGCTTTGCAACTTCTACATTTGTTCACTTGTAAATAATTCAGACTTTATATTGTTTCTTAGAATTATGTGTGTTCTTTGTAACAAAGTTCTAGTTTCTTAAAAATCTAGAAAACAAAAAATGGAAATCAAACCTGATGACAGCAACTAAATTGTGATTTCATGACAGCTTATATGAGTTCTTCCATCCCTGACAATAAGCCAAACTCTCACTTTTCTGTCTTACTTTGCCTGACAACTAATGATTGCTTCTTTTGTTGTATTCATTACCTTATCCCTTTTTTGTACGGAAGTTTTTAGTAGCTTTTTATTTGACATCTTGATTAAAATTTAAGATATATGTTGTAAGCAACACACTCTCTGAGATTAATTCAGAAAAGCTAAAAACTTGTTTTGAAACTTACATAGGACAAAGTATCATGTCAATAGAAGAGGAGAAAGTGTGTGTACCTGGCAACAGATGGTCTCCATAACATAGCTTAATTGATTTTAATGTTAAGTTTTGATTAATTAAGAAACTTTTGTTTGGATAATAAATTACTCCTCTCAAGTTGTAGGTTAAGTTTTGAAACAGCTTGCTGATCATTTGTCTTCTCAAAATATGGAATTGTGAAGATCCAATCTAACTGCCATAGGCTTAATTTCTTTATTTTGAAACTGTTAATGCTGTATTTTAGAAAGTGAATGGTCTGGTCAAGAACTCAGAGGGTGTCAGTGTTATTTGAGAATGCCATTCTTCGTTATCTATCTCAGAATAAAGAATGATTCCTTTACAATTGAGTTACCATCAGGGACATGCCAATAATGAATGCACTGTAGGTTACATAGGAAATCCTTTCTGTTGATATCTCTACTATGTATGATAGTCACACTGAACAATGGTAAATCAAACACCTGCTTCTTTATTGAGAGGTAAATGAACATCCCATCTGCTCCTGAAGATGAGCTGGGTTACCAGTGCCAAAATTTAGCATCATTATCTACTATACACCACACATGCATTCAGCTGTTTACCATTTCTGTGGTACTTTGACACTAATGAAGCAACCGTACAATATTTGCTACAAATAGATCTAGACTCAGAGAACAGCAGGATTAGGAGTGTGCTTTTCTGAATCTGTATTTATAGAATTCTCATTCACTAGTAGATAATGCAAAGATAAAAAGTTACAGTGTGACAAAGAGATTTTATCAAGCTGGCCTACACTTGAAGCACATTTCAAGATAAGTGAAACAGAACAATTCACTACATATAACACTGATGACCTTTGTTGGGCTGCAGAAAGAAGCAGAAGGGTAGCAAAAGCTTGACTTTGAGCTATTATGTGTGTTTGTAACCTTTTTTTCCAAATATTTTAGCCCACTGAAAATTTTCACACTTTATTTCTACAAAAGATTGCTTTTGTGATTACCACGATCTCTCCTCCTAAACTCATTTTGAATACAATGAAACTTTTCCTGTTTCTTTATGAATGAGGTTTTTGAATTTCTCATTTGGTCAGATCTTCCAACTGCCGATAGCATTCCAGGAGATAGGAACTTTACCAGGCTGCACACAGTACAAAGACAGAAATAGAGCACATGATGTATTTGTAAGAGACCATTCAATGCTCACTGTAATGGGCTGTTTTCCAAGCACATTAATTCCTCACAACAACCTTACAAACTGTACACTGTTTGAAATGCAAATGTCAGCATTTGTGTGTATAAATACACATAAATGCATGTATCATATATCTCTGCTTTATAAAACATCTAATTTAATGAAATACCACTAAAAATGAAAACATCCAGCATCCAGATTTTTTTTTCTCTGAATGGTTTTAGGTGTTTTTTTTTTTTTTTTAATTATTATTACAAAATTTAGGTCTGTGAGAAGACCAGGACAAATGAACCTAAAATGTATTGCTGTAATAAATGCTTGAAGAAAATTAGGCACGTGTCAAAACATATGAAGCAGGTTGAAGAAGTCCCCCCTGGTCAAATATGAGCTAGACTCAGATCATCATAATATATAACATTAACAGTAAGTTGCACCTGGGCATGGAGCTGCTTGCCTATAATTCCAGCAATCTGAGAGGGTAAAGCAGGAAGACAATTATTACAAGCTCAGACTGGGTAATTTATGAATTTAGCCTGTCTCAAACTAAAATGTTTAAAAAGCAGGGCCCTGGGATCAATCCCTAAAGCAAAGAAAGAAACAAAAAAGAATAGATTACAAGTCGATGAATAAGATAAAGTCACGAATTCAAAATTACATAAAATAATTTCTGACTAAATAAATGGGAAATGAAAAGTTCTTAGTGCTGATTACTCGTATAAACATAGAAACAAAGATTGAGAAATGAAATGCATTTTGGGAATTATACAGCTAGATGATTCAAAAAGACAATTGAAGACTAGGACATACAAAGAGGAAAATCATTAATTTAGTGAGGTTGACAAGAACTAGATCATGTCAGATATTTATGGTGAGATGAAAGGGTGTTTAGGCTCCTCATCTGATTCATGAAAAGGGAACAAAAATACTTTGTTTAAAGCATCTGCCAAGAAAGTGCAGTGTGGACCTGCTACTGATGCAGCACAGGAGAGGTCCAGGTAAGTGTCACACTACAAAATCTAAGAACCATTGACTTTAAATCTGTCCAAGATTTTAAAGCAAGAAAGAGACTGAGCAATTATTGCAACTTGAAGAACACTGAATTAATGTAACAATTAAACTAAATAAATAGATCTTCCTTGATGAGACTCTGTACCAGAAAGTAAAGGAAATGTCATTGGAGAGTGGTGTGGTGCCTGAGTTGACTTCCTGGCTTGGAAGTGGTTATGGTGATTTGAAAGGAGATCTGCATGAAATTGATCCTGTAGTATTTAGGGATATTGGGGACACCCTTCCTGCAGCTTACTCTTTGTTATAAAAATGATGGATGATTAAATATGTAGGATGCATGCATGTATATATGTAAATGTACATATATATGTTTGTAAAAAGATAAAAAAAGCAATTGAAAAACAAATGTTGATGTATTGAATTTTAATAGTTGGGGAATCTAAATAAATATAGAATTTTTAGACTTTATAGTTTTTGGGAATTTAAATTATTTCAAAGTAAACTACTAATACTCAATTGTAATACTCCTGCCCAAAACACCTAAATTTATAACCACTAAGAGTCACTTTAAGAGTATGGATGTACTTTACTCTATGCTTTAAAACCCACTGAGGGACATTATTGCATAGATTCATAATAAAATAGACAACCATAATGATTCTGAGTTTGGAAGTTGTATAAAAAGCTAGTTGTATTTTGTT